GAACTTTTGATCTCCTTTCTCCGCTAAAAAAGTAAGAATTTAAAAAAATAGGACTCTGTGGTGCCCCGCATCCTGACATGCTCTTTCTAATGAAAAAAAGAATTTATATATCTTGAAAGACACTGGATCGAGAAATCTTGGAAGCAAAATGAGCTACTTTTGAGCCTTGTTTAGTTCATATCTTTGTCAAACGTCATGGAATCGAGCTGAAATTTTTATCACAACCTCCTCACTTCAGCCCCAACATATGCTCCAAATTTCAGCCTATTTGAACGTAATTGGGTTGAGATCGGTTTTTGAGTGGGGAACTTAACAGAAAGGTTTTTTGGATAATTTCTGTGTGTCTTGAAAACAATATAAGCAAAATAATATCTTTTCCTTTTTTTTATTCGTACAGATACTTCCACTAGTCAACATAATACATATGATAAAGAACTGCCTCCAAACGTTCTTCATATTTTGAATAATCCACTGTATCAATCTCAAGAGAAACAAAGAAAGTTTTCAGAAGTAGCTTGGTTTTGTAATCGTGGTATTACAATAAGTCAAACCGATCGGTTTTCTAATAAGATATCTTTAGCATGTCTTTGTCCACCATCGTATTACGGTAACCAATGTCAATATTATAGTGATCGTATAACAATTTTTACTTATCTTGATGATTTAACTGATACATTAAAATCAAATTTTAATATTACACTTAAAATTTTATCATCATTTTTATTAAATGATACAGTTATTGATACACATGAATTTCATTATACACCAGCTTTGAATAATTTAAAAAAGAAACATATATTTTATTTTGTTTATCCACGACCGAGAATTTTATCAACAAATCAATTTTATTCTGTTCGTTTTGAATTATTTCAATTATCTATTATGAATTCAACAATTGATTTTTTAGCTATTTGGAAATATTCAATACCGTTTGATTTTTTACCAGCATATCGTTTGGTTAAAGTATTGAAGTATAAAGCAATAAATCAAACAAATCATCTATGTAAAATAAATAATCCTTGTCGAAATAATGCAACATGTTATCCATTAATGAATAATGATCAATTTTATTATTGTTATTGTGGTAATACATCCTATGGTCGTCATTGTGAATATACTTCTAACAATAGTTCTTGTTTGTAAGTAATATAAAATTTTATTTTTTAAAAAAAATTTTATTTTATAGAAATCATTCGAATAATTACTTATGTCGTCCGAATTATTTCAATTCAAAACCATATTTAATATGTTCAGCAAATCGTTTTGGTTCACAATGTAACATTGAACGACAATGTGATTTATCTCGTGGTAAAAATCCATGTTTGAACAATGGTTTATGTTATATTGATTACAATCCATCATATTTACCAAATGATTACATATGTTTATGTTCAAATAATAAATATTTCGGTGAAAATTGTCAATATCAAAGTAGTATTATTAGCATTCATTATCAGAATTTATCATTTTTAAATGATGAATATAAAATAATTGCTTCATTGATACAATTATCAAGTGTAATTAATTTTCAAATGATTGTTTATAAACAAAATCTATATAAAAATGAACTATTAACTGGAACAGATATTATTTATGATGATAAAGCTGTACCACCAATTGGTATAATAAAGTTTTTCTATAAACAACAATCATCAAATTATCGTGAAATTTATTTTTTATTATACATTGCAGAAAATAGTACATCGATTAATTTAACATTAGTTTTAAATCAACAAACTTATTGTCCTCATACAAGTCTATTATTTAATATAGATGATGGTACAATCCTTAATCAATCGTTAAGTAAGTTTACTTTTATCCATATTTTCTTATACAATATCTTCTTTTTTTAAAGATTTTTATAATGATACAACGTATCATTCATTTAATTCATCTTTATTTATTTTCAAATATCATTTGTTATGTGATAATATTAAACAAAAATCTAGTCTATTATGTTTTCATGATGATGATTACTTTTGTTTTTGTGATGTAACTCAACATGCTGAATGTTTTTTGTATGATCGTTCGGTAGAACAATGTTCATATTGTTTATCTGGTGGTCACTGTATTCAAGGTGATTTAAAAATGAAATCAGATTATTTATGTTTATGTCCACAATGTTATTTTGGTTCAATTTGTCAATATAATACAAAAGTATTGAGTTTTAACTTAGAATCATTGATAACTGCAGATCTATTTTCATCATCTATTCTTATTCAAAAATTATCGATCAGTATTTATTTAATAACGGTGATTAGTCTTTTTCTATTTGGCTTGATTAATAATTACTTTTGTTTCATAACATTTCGTCGTCCACGTCCAAGTCTTATAGGTATCGGATGGTATCTGTTTATTAACAGTATCATATCGCAAATATCGTTGTTAACTTTATTACTAAAACTCATATATATTCTTCTTGGTACACAAGGTTTGATTACAAATGAATTGTTGAATATGATTTTATGTAAATTGATAAGTTTTCTTCTTTCTACATCAATAAGAATGAGTTATTGGTTAATGGGTTTTGTTACAATTGAACGCGTGTATGTAACAATGTATCCAAAAAGAGAATGGTTAAAAAGTCCTAGAATAGCTAAACGTATCATTTTTATCACTACATTGATAATATTTAGTTCACATATTCATGAACTCATTTATTATCAGATTGTTCCAGATCCAAAATATACACAATATGGTAAGAATATTAATTGAAATGATGTACTTTTGTTTACACAATAATGATCAATAATTTAAACTATATCATAAAATATTCATTATTTTTTATTTAAGGTACATGGTGTGTTTCAAAATATAGTTTGATATTATCGATTTATAATCAAACAAACACTTTTATCCATTATTTAGTTCCATTCTTTATTAATTTCTTATCCACATTTATTCTCATAATGGGTGTGGGGTGTGGGTGTGGGTGTGGGTGTGGGTGTGGGTGGGTGTGGGTGTGGGTGTGGGGTGTGGGTGTGGGTGTGGGTGTGGGTGTGGGTGTGGGGTGTGGGTGTGAGTGTATGCGTACGTGCGTATTTATTTCACTGAAACCCACACCCATCCTGACAGTGCATAGAGGAACATTTATTCTTAACAGTACTGGAATGCAAAAAAATAAATAACGTGGTATCTGGATATCAAATGATTTCTTGGCATATTGTTACCAATGTACAAAGCCTTAATGTGACTACCCCTTCATTTCTGATCATAAATAATGTTTGTAATTCAAATCTATTACTATATGGTATCTTTAATGCTAAAGAATCTTGGTTGTTGAGCCAACTATATTATCTTTTTATGATTATTAAGATATCGAGAAAATAAATTGTGTTTTCATGGTTCTTTTTACTTTTGATGATGATATATATATATAACTTCACATTCTCTTTGTTGAACTGTTTTAAAAAATTGCTTCTCAGAACAAGCAATTTGTTCAGTAATTCATAAAGGATGTTGACATCTCATCACTTAAATATTGTATTGAACCTATTGCTTTTCCTGCATCCTTCTTTTCTCGGTTGAATGAAGAGATTCTACCTATTGATTCAATTGACAAAAAAAAAAGCTGATTTCAAATGTTAATATGTTCTTATTAATGATTGTGATATAAACGAGTAAATTTAACATTGTTACTATCCTAGATTTCCTTGGTTAGCATCAACATCAAGAGACTCTTGTTCTAAAAACAATGTTTGAGTAGCTGCCAATAAATTTATTCATTAATTCAAAATGATACAATTTAATTCAAATAATTTTAATAGTAGAAAGTTAGCTGTTTATGTTTTGTTTCATTGTGTAATGGATATATCATTTTATTTTAAAGAAATATTTTTTTTAATTTTAGAAAAAATAAAACATAATAAAAATCAAAGTGGACGACATTAATAGTAAAGAAACCATTTGTTTATTCCCATTGGCAATTCGTCGTCCATTCGCATCTGTTAAGCCGTAATTGCTTAATACATATTTTATTTGTGAAAATGTTTCCTCATTATTGCATAAATTACGATTACAATCAATTTGAAATGATGTATAAGAGCCACCATCATAAACAAAAACCTTAGGTTCACGATTTAGATTGCAACCAAGTGATCTGAACTTATTTTCTCGTTGATTATAATTTAAATTGCATGTATAATCAGTTGAACATATGATAGGTTCTTGTCTTATATTATAACATTCGATTGAACTATTCCGAAAAGGATTCTTGATAATTGGAGCAATTTCATCATATATGGCTCGTGCATTATAGTTGCGATTAGTCATTTCATTAATTCTGTTCTTTACATATGATACAACACAATCGGTGCCTTTTGTGCATTGATAATCAATGCTATAACTTAGGTAGGGTCCAGATGATATATAGATAGAATCTGACGATGACATAAGAATGTTAAATTGTACATTATACGAAGAAGTATCATATCTTAATTGGATATCAGTTCCACAAACATCTCCCAATTTTCGTTGTCGACATCTTCCATCAGGAATATTAAACGCTTGACTGAAATTATAAGGGCCAAGAGAACAGTCAGTTCGACATTCAAGAGCAAAACCAATGTCTGCCGCTATCAATATAATGAATAGTAATCCAAACATGTTGTGTTTGTCTAGAATTTTGAAAAAAAAATCTGTTTTTATATACTTGATTAAACTACGTGTAGAAAGATCTGACGATAAATATTATTTTACTAGGCGAACTAACGTCAGAGAAACAAACTCTATTATTGCTATGAAATGAATCAAATTACTATGATGAATAGATGAGAAAATATATACTCGAGTACGTGATTTATTCTGTGTGTCTTTAAATGATTCACTAGGTATTGAAAGAATGATTACGTGAATAGTTAAAATATTAAAACATTTAAGCAAATGTGAATATTATTTGCTAAATTAGAACATACATTTCTATTGAAAAAACAGAATTCATTATGTTTAATGAGATAGTTGCTCTATAAGTAGTATTAAAATCACAGTGACTAGGTCGTGTATTTTTATTGATCTATTTTTTTTCATGCTGAACCATATACTTTTTCTCAATAAGTTCAGATCCGATTGTTCGTCCAATTGGTATAAATTATTGTTTAAATTTTTAATATAATAACTACGAAATCGATTTGTCAATAACATATATTATTCACTTTACTAGCACATCGATCAAGTTGCATTTCGACTTTACCGTTAGAGCGCACTTTAAGTGTTCTTTTCATGATATAATGTATTAATCTTTTATTTAAAATTTATTTTTCCAAGTTTAATCAGAATGGAATGTAATATTTTTGTTTATACTAGAATGTCTGAAAGACATTTAATTCTCAACAATCAGTCTCGTTTTGAGTAATAATAACTATTAATCAATGACCTTAATATTTGTTGATTGCATATTCGGTGTCTAATGTTGTTTTTTCTTCAGAGAGAGAAAAGAAAAAAAGATATCAGGTTTAAAAATAACGTGCAGCCAGTAACCTTCACAGAACTGTTTTTTTTTCTATTATTTTTAAGTGATATTAGTCCAAAAGCATTATATTACACATTCATATCTCTTAAAATTGCGCATAAATAAATGTAAATTATCGTACCTTGGGCGGAGACACTGAGCGTAAATTGTTCTCTCTTTTCTTATTGCGTATATTGTCCATATGAAAATTTAAGCATGAAAATGTGCTTGAATTAGCTTGTATTTTTGGCTGAACAACATCGAAAATCGCATATTTTAAGCAATTGAAAACCATTTGCAATTACGTATTACAGCGAATTTGAAGGAACTAATATTAATTGTTGACCGACTCTATTACTATAATTCAATATCTTTATATAAAGAAATTCTAGAATAATATGATATCTAAAAGAGTACAACTAGTTCAAAATAATTATTCTACATGATAGTTTTACACTTGTATCCTTCTGCAGAAGTAATTTTTAAAAAAAAAGATATTTTTCAATTTCGAATCGTAACTAAAGAATTATAGCTCGAAATTCAAAAGTGTTTTATTTTGCGAGAATTACCTATCAAAAAGTATGCAGATGTAAAAATATTTTCTAGAATAATTATTAGAAACTTATTCAAATGTTTTGAATATCATATTATTTTACAAGCTTTCAATGTTTAAACGGAAGCAATGCCTAACCATTACACGCTTGTTCTTGTGTTTAAACGCAATTGATTCACTAAAAATATGTCACATTATTTTTATAATATTTTTGTCTAGTAAAACTTGTTCTCAATGTTTTCTATACAAATTAACATAATCTGGCGCTATACGAACACTGAAAATGAAAAAAAAGGCTTTCGTAGTACCGACTTAACATAAAAAATGCAGTTTAGTGCGAAAAAACTCTTACTAAGACATATAGTATATCGTTACGTACTTCAACATGCAATATCACTATTTGAAAAAAGAAATTTTGCAGTGAGAGATAAACTTATGCATTTCTTCAAATAAAAACAAAAGGAAAGAATAATAAAAATAATAAAATAACGGGTGCTCCATAATAAATGGTCGAACTTTGCGTTTCATATTTTGACCCCTAGATATCTCTTATTAAAAAAAAATATATACCACAAGATGCAGCATTAGGGCCGTTTTTCTTATAGTGGCACTTGTCTTTTTCAAAAAAGACAAAATTTAGGATGATTGAATTTTAACCTTACGAAAACGATATTTGTTTTTGCACAAAATGGATTCGTTTTTTCTTATTTGATGTTTTTGTCACCGGATATCTTTTATTTAAAAAAAAATATAACGCTAGATGCAGCGTGAAAAGCCCTAAAATCTAGGGGTGTGGGTGTGAGTATTGATGTTCTGTATACTCACACCCACATCCCACACCCTGTGAAAACAGCAACATAGAATGTAAAGTAATTTTTTTGAAAAATCCTTAAAATTTTCCACGAATGCCGCATTAGAAGGCTCCCTAGACACTTTAAACACTCGACACATTAAAAGATTCGAGGATCTCTTAATGAGAGGGGAACTACTTTGTTCGAGTAAATCTTATTTTATATTTATTTTTATCTATTTTAAGAGTTATTCAGTGGTTTATGATTCAACTTGTCTTTATACAATGGACTACGGTCCACATATATCCAAGTTGGAAACAGAGGACTCCATAACTCCGAAAAATGAATTCGTGTTAAACGACAGCGAAGAATCCGACTCTGCTTCGGAGCCTTCCCGTGTATTCGTTTGTAAAATTTGCTGCTGTTCAACATCAACTGATACAGTCAGAGGACAAATATGATATCAGTGACAAAACTATGCGAATTTTCGCAGGACTATGTACAAATTATTTATTACCCGCTCGCTCAAAGAGAAAAAGGACTTGGTTTTCGATCAGCATCTTACGTATTTTCTTAATGATATCCGATAAGATGTGAAAAAAACGAAAACCTAAACATGAAAACAATTTATTGCTTAACAGATGAAACATTCATCCGAGTGAACGAAATACGGCCGATTTAGCCTTGGAAACCTAGAGAAATGGTAGGAACTCGGAAGCATGAGTCCAGTCAACGGACTTATTGGCTCTGTGAGTATGAGTAGGAGTTTATGGGCAGTGTGCGTGAGCGTGTGGATGTGAGTGGGTATGGGCGGGTGTGGAGTTCCACATCCACATCCACACACCTGCACCCTCGTCTGGTATTCATCTGATAAAACGGGTGAGTGAGAATAAAATGACCACTTTTATTCTTCTTTATTGAAGCACTCATATTTGCAAAGGATTGATTCTAAGCTCATCAGATAGAAAATGTTGTGCTTTAAAAACATCATTAGTTGCTTTCTTTACATATTATTTTCTTTTATTGACAAGTAGTCGAGTGGAATGGAGTGAGTAAAGCAATAACAATACAAAACGTATTTCATATTTGCTGATAAAGATTATCAAGTGACAAGTACTAGTGCAGAAGATTCGCCGAAAATGAATCAACACATAACACTAAGTTCTACTTGTAAGTAGAAAAACACCTAAAGGATGGGTATACAGATATTGAGATGTTACAAAGCTAGTATAACGTATTTCGATCTCGTAAGTAGATCTTGTCAAATGCTTTTCTAGTTAACTCTGTATTCGAAGGTGTAATTAGGAGGTGAGTTCCTATTTGGGCGTTTCAATTTTTTTTTCACTGCAAAATAAAATTGTGCAATGAGACGAAAAAGAAGCTGATAGAGACAAATCACAAATGTTATTTAACGAGATAAGACGAAAGGCGCGTAAGTGTCAGAGTAAAAATAGGAGACAGCCAGTGAAGTAGGAAAGGTATATGAATGGCATTTTCACTATGATGTTAAATGAAGTGGAGAACCTTCAGTGTTTGGGTTCGTTGGTAGGTCTGACGAATGGAAATCAATGCCTACCAGTATAGGAATATGAAGATCGATTGTTTCTATCAGTGCTCTTAGTGGCGTTGATGGTGGTTAACAGTGATTTGTGGTGGTTTGATCATTTTCAGTGTTGGCATTGATTGAGAAACGAATAGGAGCAGCGACTTCATTCTCAGGTAGTCATACGAATTGAAAACAATCAGATTGGGTTTCTTATGTTTATTTTTCTTCGAGTCGATCAACCTTATTGTGAACATGGACTTGTCTCATTCGATTCAGTCACATCTCCTGGGGGTGTGGGCCTGTAGATGTGGAATGTGATCTTCTCTTCATTCCCACCACCCCCCACATCCACATCAGCAAAGATTGAGACGTAGTTTGAAGTGAATGATCAAAAGAATATTTCATTTTGTTTTCTGTTTCGTTTTATTAAATGATTAAACAAGATTTAATTTATTATAATCAAATAATAATCTTTATGCATTAAAAGTTGCACATTGAATATTAGTAAGTTTTCAGCTTTATTTTTTTATAACATATATGATTTTTGGTTATTTACCCATTTGTTTATATTTTCATTAAAAAATTATAAAAACAAGAAATAAAATCGAATTCAAAAATAAATCAATGAATTCCTCTATATGATAATAGTTTATGCTATCGAATCGATGAATTTCTTTGATTAGATGAGTATAATATAAAAATTATTGCACATATTGATTTAAATATAGAGATCTTTGAAATAATAGAAAACGGACTTATTTTAATCTTGATGAACCACAATTTATCAGTTTAAGAAAAACATGTCTCATTTTGCTGATGAGGAAAATGTGTACTACTTCTAAATATAAAGAGATAATTGAAGAATTCTTTGACGACGTTTATTACATTATTGATATACGCAAGTATTTTTACATGTCCATATTGAATCATATAGATTTATCGGTATATTAGTCATTATAGTTGAATTTTAGATATACTTTGCTTGTTCATTACGTTAAGATTCTATAATGATCTATAGTTTGTTCCATTTCAAACAGTATTTCAAAATTAAATCTTGAATTAAGAGTCCTACAATTAATAAAACAAATATCATTACAATGAAGCTTGATGAAACTTTACGTATTAGTAAATCACACAAATTATCTTACACAAAGTAATAGAAATTACGAAATAAAATTTCTTTTAATTTTTTCATAGATCGAAAAAATATTAAAATATGTTCTTTACTAATTACTCATCGCAATAGATTATATATTTGAGAAAAATCTA